GCCAGGGGGGTCCATGCACCAGCGCCGCATGTGAGGGGCAGGATGAAGGCGGCACCACTGTGAAACCTCCAGCTCAGGGACAGCCCTGTGCCCAGCTCCTTGCAGCGCCAGCCCCTGCAGCCTGACCTGGTCCAGCCCTGTCAGTGCGGTGCCCCGGGAGCCATGAAGCTGCCCAGCAGCAGTGCCTATGGCCTGTGGCTGCCACTCAGGACAGCTGGTGCCCATGCTGCTGGAGCTGGAGCTGCCCCAGGAGCAGTGCAGGGGTCAGTACAGTTGAGGTCTTGGAATGTATCTCTATTTATTGCATTGCAAAGTGGGTTTCCTTTATGCAACTTTAAGTTATGTGCTGTGTTCTAGGAATGCATGTACAGCACAAAGCGAGGGAAACATGTACTGTGGTTGTTATAGCCAGGGCTCTGCTATGCAAAATAGTTGCTCCTATCATGTAGTACTACTTCTTAGCCTTACAAGATAATTCAGTGTTCTATATTACAGTTGTCCTTATGTAATTTCATGTGCTTAATAACTTGGGTGTGCACTGTTTTCTGATGGATAGAATCATAGCTGCTTAAGCATTTGTAATTGACGGTGACAATTAGTGATTAACATACAAAAAGCTATTAACCTTGTTGCATCCAAGGGAAGGGAGATAGCCTTTTAACTTTTCTGTTTAATTCAGAAAGACCCTAATTCAGCAAAGCAAGTGAAGCAGCAGGTGTTTAAAGTGCTTTACTGAATTGGAGCTCCAATGAGAAAAGAAGGTAAGAATAACAATGAATTTATCATCATGTAGATATGTGTAATTTGCATTTCAGCTGAGTGGGCATATCTAAAAGAGACATTTACTGTGGAGCTGACTAATTAGCTCTGCAGTAAAGCGTGAGTGTCTACATCTACATGTGGGGTGCTGTTAGGCCAGAGTAAATTAATTCACTCCATTGTAGGATGGTACTGCTTGACAGAAGTACCATCCTATGGCAAAGTAATTTACTCTGCTGCAACACGCATATAAACTTTGACTGGGGCTGACTTCCGGCTAGCCCCACACTGTAGCACCCTCAGCCCCTCTGCAGCATATTGAGTTGGGTCAGAGCAGTCCCAGCCTGGCAGCATGAGCCCCTGGGGCCCTTTGCCAGCCAGGGGGCTGCTCTGCCCCAGCTAACATGCTGTGATTCTGGGTGCACATGCGAATGCTGTGCCTGGGAGCAATAAATTCTGTCATGAACTGCACCAGGGCTTATTGCATTGAATTAATTTCAGATGTAGCTGAGCCCATTGTCAGCTAACAAGAGTGGAAGATGAAGGGCCTGATTTTGGTAAGTTGGTGCCTTTTTATTTAGCCCTACTTTATCTCTGAGTGCTATTTGGATAAGTTATTACTTGAATCCTTTTACTAAAAGTAATGACCTACAGTGATGACCAACCATTCCAGTACGTTCTAAGAGTTGCTATTATACTTTCTCACTATGCCAGCAGGATGACTTAGTTGTAATGACTTAGAAAAGTAATTGTTTTAAAATCCACGTGTTACAGTTCATAAATATCAAGGCTTCATTCTCCCAAAATAACAAGTTGGTTTAAAAAAATATTACCACTCATGGGGCTGGTTTACTTTTCACTCAGTTTGATTCCACTTATATTTAATTCTATTCTGATCCTTCTGAATATCTGCTTTTCATGCATTAGTTCAGGGGTGGCCAACCTCCAGCACAAGTGCCACACAAGTTCAACAGGCAGCCTGTGTGCGACAGGTGGTAGATTGGGGAAGGGACAGGCAGCAGGGCAGTAGATGGGGCAGGGAGCAGAAAGCAGAGTAGCAGGTCAGGCAGGGAAGGGGGATCGGACTGACACAGGAAGGGCTAATTTGTGGCACTCCTGCCAAAAAGGTTGGCCCCCCACCACACTAACTGTCCCTCTGCATGCTTTCATGAGAGCATATGTAAACTGGCAGAATGTGGCTGGGATCCAGAACTGAGCTTAGGAAGGTGGGACAGGGGCAGCATTCTGAAGGGAAGTTGGTGGCTGCTAGAAGCCCAGTGAGAAGATCTGTTCTGTTGTGTCTGATACCCTCCTCACTGCACAGTGTTAGGCAAGGCAGAGTTTCCTTTGCAGAAGTATTGTTCTAGGTAGGGTCTTCTTACCCAGGCCTGTGGAATGCTCGAGCCTCATTGCTTGGAGGTGGGAAGGATTTCACCCTACTACACAGCCAGTTAGTCTGTGCCATCCTACCCTACCTTCTGCCTGACTTCATACTAACATGGCTAACCACTTCTCTACCCTTGTTGGGTTGTACTGGATGCTGTGGATACTTCTTGAAATAAAGCCTGGGTAGTGGGGGAGAAGGATTTAAAAAACATCAAACCAGAGCCACATTCTCCCTCTGAGCCAAGGAGTTTGCAGCCTTGAGGAGTGGGGAGGGGGAATCAAGTCGATCCAAGGAATCCTGAGCAAAGCAGGGCACATCCCCTCTTTTCTGCATCCCAGATATCCTCCCACTATTAAGTCCAGTCTACCCCAGCCAGCAAGTCGTCTTAAGAACTTTGCTGGCAGGGACCTTTCCCTTTCTTTTCTCCACCCACCAAACCCTTTATACTTCCTTGTTCCTAACTGTAAATACCATGTTTACCCTATTGTAGCACAAGTCACAATTTTGGGGATTACCTACCCTTCAATGGGGTGTTACTGTTGGTAACAGTTCTAGTATTGTGATATGTGCAATAAGGTAATTGTGAAAGCAAACCTAAAGGCTGCTTCTATCAGCAGCAGAAGTTATGGTACACAAAGACATTCATGAAGTTGTGGCACAGGCACCAGCTGCATCCTGAAGCTGTTGGCTGCAGTGGGAAACAATACAGTTGCTCACTCACTTTTTCTTCTGGGCTACTACTGCTATTGGAGAAAAAACTGTAAGTATGTAGGCAACTATCTTCCTCAGTAACTGCACACTGATTTTCTCCAAGCCTGATAATTGCAATCATAATAGGATGCAGTGAAGCAGTTGTCTTGGTATTGGCGCTAGCCATTTTCATTCTTCAGAAAAGTTGTGTATTATGCAGTCCTTCAGGACAGATGTTTGTGAGAGGTGGTGCTGTTAGCACATTCAGGCCTAGGAAATCCCATGAATCTATTGGGTTTTCTCCAAATTAATAAAAAGCTAACTACATGTTCAACTTAACTCTGTTAGGGATAAATCAGTCTAAATTATGGGTGCATGTAAATGCAATTTGCACATGTGCTGTGAAATAAATATGACCTAAAACATTCAGTTTTTAAGAAGTCTGAGTTAGTCAATTCCTCTGTTTAAAAGGTTGTGATATCTAAAAGAAAAGCCATATTATATTGCTTTTTCAAATGGCAGGTTAAAAAACAATAATGGATAACATGCTTCATTGTATCAGAGGACAGAGTTGGACTTAGCTGCACCTTTTCCATGCTGCTCTTCCAGCAAGTTTATTCTTACAGGACCTGCACTGGGGTAAACTGTCATAGCTCCCATGATTTCTGGAGATGATAAATTGACTTTGGAGCTATGACAACCTACTTTAATATTGTTGTACAACAGAAGTGTTCTGTCTCTGACTTGCCTTGTTATTTATATATGTTTTAGATGTTTTGATGTGGTATAGATAATAAAAAAGCAGTAAATGAATGATAGTATCAGGTTGACTGAGCAAGTGTAAATGGGATTTTTTTTTTGTGAACGTACAATATTAACAGGATAAGTACTGGATCACTGAGACCATTAACTAGGCTAAAGATTATAGGAATGGGTAGTCCAATGTGTTTTTCTATTATGTTTTTCTACTAATACAGCAAACCTATTGAAACTTGCAAGAAAAAATTAAACCAATTTTTATGAGTTCAACCATGCTTTTTTTTAAAACATAGTTTTAAGTTACTTTGTTTTGCAGCTTCAAAAAGAAGCATGAGAAGAAATTAATATTTAGCCCATGTTTAAATCCAGGGTTTTTATTTTAACTATAACCATAATATGCCCAGCTCCACATTTCTGTAAAGTGAAAAATGAACTGGAAAAGAACTATTTAAATTCTGACTTCTAAATACCTCTTTAGAGAAGGCCAATACCATGAGAGTTAATGGCAACTACTCAAGTTCAAGTGGAACAGGCTGGGTGAAGGCAGCGTACCAGAGAAAGGAGAGTGTTAAACAGAGATGTTGTTTGGAAGAAAGAATGCAAATAGCATTGAACTGTTGACCTGATTTAACATGCAATTTTATTGTACAAAATGAAGAAAATTTCAAGGAGAGAGAAGCAGCAAAATAATCCAGCAGTTTATATAGAAATGTACTAATAGAACAGTAATTTTCTTATTCATCACATTTATGAAAATAAGTCCTAGATTTTCTGCAGAGGTCTTTTTATATGAAATTCTTTTTTTTTTTAAATATAAATCTTGTCTTTCCTGTGTCCTGTAGGTTATAAATAGAATCAGACTGGATATTCTTGCTTTTTTAAATAAAAACCCCCTTTCCTACAGAGCCTTTAAATGGTATACTGGAACACTGTGTATGTTATTTATCTAATTCTGCACAAAAGAAAAATTTGAAGGACATATATATTTAATTTCAAATTTTAGTGTCAGGATGCACTAACACTTCACTCAGAATCTTGAATCCCTTAACTAAATCCAGAACTCAGTTTCACAGCTGGAAATGCAAGGACCTGAAGTCAACCTTAGGATGTTGTAAGTAGACCACTTATAGTTTCATTTTCTTCCTTCTCTCTTGGGGTAATTGCAGGATTTAATTTAATGTCAATGGGAGTTACTTGACTGGGACAGGAAGACAATTTTTCCCTGCCAGGGCATCTTGTGACTCAGGGGTACCTTGTACGAGATGCTTTCAAAATGGTTACATAGTATTAAGTAATCCTTATTTCTCAGTTGCTAAATTATGTCTTTTATGAAATGACATAATTTATTAAGTCATTGTATGTAGTTTTATTAAATGTCCACATACAACTCAGCAGGCAACCCACTTCTTTTTACAGATTAAAAATCCCTGCAGCCACATCCATGTCAGTGGTGAACTTCACCTGTCCCTAGAAGGGGGGGAGGAGTGTTTCCATCTAGCACACTTGTGTTGACCCAGTTTAAGCCTGCAGGTTGCTGAGCCACAAAAATCAGTTTCCAGGGTTGTCTGGAAATGCCAACACTACATCTGTTTACTACCACCCAACCCCAGGGTGGCAATTACAGGCACAGGGAGGTGGTTCAGTTAAAAAAACTCAAGGTCTAGGGCAGCTAACAGTTACTTTTTAAAGTATAAAGCACATATATTTGCAGCAAGAGAGGACACAGTCGGCTGGTAGAGAACAGGCTGCTTCCTCTTACTTCTTAGGGGCAAGAACATACTGAACTTTTTATAAAGAAGAAAAGTATTCCCGGAGTAAAGTGTTGTGAATAGGTCTGGACGGAGGAAGCATGCACTGCAGACTATGCCGGGCCATAAATAATAGAGTTCATTCATCTCAACACAGAGAACTTTAATTTAATCTTCGCTCTTCCTTTGCATGTGCCTAGAGCAGCGCTAGTGCTGGGGCCGTGCAGGGCTTGGGGCGGCGGCCAGGCGGAGCAGCAGAGGGTAGCGCCGCCCCCGGCCCCTTGCCCACGTCACAGCGCCCCCCCAGCCCCGGGGGAGGATTGCGGCGCGCGCGGACTGGAAGGGGCGGTGGGAAAGCCCGGCGGGCGGATCAGG